TAGGTATTGGTCTGTTACTCTCAAGGTTGGCGGTTCCAATCCCCCAGCCACTCCACAGTTGAAAAATGAAACTGTCTGTGCCCATAAAGATTTACAGTGTGAGCATAGAGTTGATGGCAAGCATAAGGTTTTTCCTTTTGTTCTGGTGAGGTTTACTAATAGAAAGGTTGACAGTTCCTACTTACCAAGAAAGAAAGGTCTTACTTCATAAGAGTACAGCCACTGTGCTCCACCGAACACATTCTACCTTAGCACCATGGGGTCATCCTGAAATGGGAGAGACTCGGCAGCAATGGGTATGGTCTTAGTTTTAATTAATCAGGACTTAGCCTTAGCTCCTGGTGAGATTTTAAAGTAAACCGAATAGTTGTCTGCCATTTCTTACACAAACCTATTATAATACAAGCTCCTGGAAACCATTAAAAAAAAAAAGAGTTGCTACCAGGATGAGAGTTTATTTTCCACTCTCTAAGGTCCAGGTGACTTTCCAAAGCATCGAATGTGCTGTTACTCCCTGCTCATTGGTCGAGTGTCCAGGTGCCATCAGTGTAACGGGCAAGTGAATAACATTTGTTGTTTCTGAAGGGCTTATATCTGCCCTACCTTTCCCTCAAATGATCTGGCACACAAAAAATTCTTAAAATCTAGACACAAAGAAGGGGTTGTAGATTTTAAAATAATGTTGGATACACTAGTTGAGGCAAGATAATTCAATTGAGTACTGTGCAGGAAAAATAAATAAACCATTGCTACCCACTAGGAAAGGATTTGCTTTCTTAGATAAAGTGTTTAACAAATGAAACAGACACAAAAGAGTATGAGTCCATTTGTATAACTTTCAAAAATAGGCAAAATTAATCCGTGGTGATGTAAGATGCTCTGGAATTGGATTGGATTTAGAGCGACCCTGTACTATGTCCAACAGAATAAAACCCTACCCAATCCTGCACCATCCTCACAATTGTTATGTTTGAGTCTGTCCTCAGTCCTTCATACACTAACCCACGGTGACAGAGGACACAACAATGATTATTTTTAGAGGGAGGAGCCTTCCTGGCTTGCTGGAAATAGCTACTTTTTGTGAGAATTGAACAAAGTGTACATTTAATATGGTGCATTCTATGAGTCAGCATCGACTCAATGGCAGTGAGTTTGGTTTATTATAATTATTATTATTACTTTTTTGGTTTATTATTATTTTTGCAAGTATATCTCAGTAAAAAACCAATACACTAAAACAAAGCATTTCAGAGTACTTTTAAGAAAGTATTTATAGACAAAATAAATTTGTGACTTGAGTTCTTTGTTTTATTTCATCAGTAACACCAGACGTTTAGAAACGTTTTATGTGAAAAAATGTGGACCCAGAAGACATACAGAGATTTTATTTATCTTTATTTATTTATTTATTTCCCTGGTTGTACCACTTTTTGTTATGTTTTATTTTATTATTTATCAATTTATTGGGGCTCATAAAATTCATCACAATACATAGATCAATTGTGTAAAGCACATCTATACATTTGTTGCCCTCATCATTCCCAAAATTCGCTTGCCTCTTGTGTTCCCGAATCAGCTCATTTTCCTCCCCCCGTCCCCCTCCCTTCCTCTGCCCCCCTCCCCCATGCACCCTTGATAATTTATAAATTATTATTATATCTTATATTACACTTCCAGGCGTCTCCCTTCACCTACCCCTCTGTTGCCCATCCCCCAGATAGGAGTTTATATGTAGCTCCCTGTGATCAATTCCCCCTTTCTACACCCCGCTTCCCTCCTGGTATCGCCACTGTCACCCCTGGTCCTGAGTGGTTCATCTGTCCTAGATTCCCTGGATTTCCAATTTCTATCTATACCGCTGTGCATCATCTGGTCTAGCCAGGTCTTCAAGGCAGAATTGGGGTCCTGGTAGTTGGGGGGACAAAGATTTTATTTTTATTGGAAGAAACATAAGTGCTTAGCTGGACACAGGAGCAAAGGATACAACAAGAGACAGACAGTATCCCTAGAGGAAATTACACTTCGTGCTTGGGTTTTGTGATGGCCTGAGCAGAGATACAGACTGTACCGCTAACTAAGACCAGACTCATGTCACTCTGGAACAAGAGAGGATAGAAGTTTTATCATCCACCAACATTTCACATGATACCTTATTTCATTACTCCTGGTCGGCAAATGTCCTTAGCTCATTAGTGCATTGCTTATACAGGTAAACATCTAAAAGAATCTGTATGCCTGATGCGTAAGATAATGTCATCTCAACATGCTAATACTAATGAAGTTCATGTTTATTAAGCATTTTGACATGCTAAACCTATAAATGGCTAATATTCATTTATTTAAATCTTGCAATCTATGTAGGTACAGCAACAATTCCTACTTTACAGATGTTAAGTCTGTATCTGATAAAGATACTTGCTTTAAGTTTACAGCTATTCCACCTCAGAGCTAAGACTTGTCTGATTCCAGTGTGCACTCTCAATTATTGTCATATATTCTTAACTACTCAAGGTAAGTGAGAAATGGTAGAAAGCCATGCATCAGGGAAGCAGACTATTTGTTTTTGAGTATTTTGATAATGGTACAGCTCTATCAATATGGACTGGAATGACATTTCAGCATCCTACAAGATCAAGTTCCCCTTTCCCAATTGTATCCCTGACATCTACTAGCTTCTTTCTTCCTTTGCTCATTCGGGTTACAAATTACTATGGTATGCCCACTATGTATAAGATTTCTGGATTGTGGGTAGAAAAATATAAAAGATACCATCTTTTCCATATGTATGGCATATACTGCCTTCAGGAACCCTGGTGGTATAGTGGATTATGTATTGGGCTGCTAACCACAGGTCAGCATTTCAAACCACCAGCCACTCCCTGGAATAAAGATGCAGGCTTCTACTCCTGTAAAGATTTAGTTTCAGAAACCCACAAGGGCAGTTCTACCTTGTCCTGTAAGGTCACTGTCAGTTGGAATTAACTTGATGGCAGTGTGTGGCTTAGTATACCTTTAGTCTCTTCCTCCTGTTTTTGATTGTATACTGTTTACCTTTTGCTAACCCAGGCTGTTGCTTGCTCTCAGGAGGCAATCTCGGGACACATTTCTCTAAATCCTGACCCTTGGCCTTGAGTAATAATGAAAAACAGCAGCCTTTGGATCCTGCTTTTCAGCGAAATGCCATCTTAACAGCTCAAGGCAAGGTTTGTTTTTAATTTGAGAATCCTTCGGGCCCAATTTAGTTCTCATTATGTATCTCCTGGCAGCTTGATAACCAAGGAGCAATAACTCCTTTATCTGTGGACTGTTTAATGACTACATAGCACCACCCAGGGAGCAATAGAACAAGGCCCTTTTCCAGATGCCTTGTTTTAGGACTTTCAGCTGGAAAGACCTTTACTATTCAAGATTTATACTGATTAAGTTAGAATTTGGCCTTTTTCTGAAGCAAAAAAAGTTTGCTTGCTCTGGCTTGCTGCTTCCTGTACTTCTGGCCCTAGGCCATGCGAGCATCTAATTTGTAGTTTTTCAGGCAGTGACTACAAACTGGCACCCATGGCCTCCGCAGAAAAGCACCTCAAGCCTTAGGCAGGAATACTGAACACTGCTGTAGAAATAGCTGCTTTTACTTTCTGGTTTTGTTCCCTCCTCTGCCCTGCCAGCCAAGCTTAACTGTTTCTTCCTTCCTATTGTCCTTTGGCAGGTTTAGAGCTCCAGGGTTAGGAGGCACCAGACATGCATTTCCCTGGATTTTGAAGCTTACATATTAATTTAGCTAAAAATCTCATTTGTATATGTAGATATCATTTTGCTATGTACATTATACATTCTAGTGTAGGCTGTTTTTGTTTTGTTTTTTTTCTGGAGAGTTTTATTGTTAGATAAGGTTTTCATTTTTACTGTTTTGTTTGTTTTTTTTAATAGTCTTGTATGGACTGTGATAAGAGTTGTATGAGCCTCCAATAACATGATTTAAAAAGTTATTCTTAAGGACAGACCTTAAGAATTCCTTTGTGCATTAACCGAATACCCCCCACAAAACCTTCTTACTGATGCATGCTTTAAAACAGAGCATGCAGGCTTTTGCTAGAGGGTCTAGTTTGTTTGAAGTGATCACTGCAGGAAAACAGAAAACAAAATAACATTTGTAGTGCAAACCTATTTGTAATGAAAAAAAAAAGCTAAGCCGTAACGCAATTAAGAGACCCTCTATTTTTTTTTTCCAGGTCCTTGCCCTGCTAAATGAAGAATGTGCTTAGTCAGCCTATTAGATAATCCCACACCGTGGGTTCCACCGGCATAATCACTAGTCTGGAGCGTCGCGGGGAAGAGATGGGCTCCTACCCCAGTTTCCGCCCATCAACAAAAACGGAGTGTCCTTTGCCTTTTCCCCTCCCGTCAATCGCCTGGGTAAAGCAGACCAGAACGGAGGGCAGAACCCAGATCAGGGACCCGAGCGGGCGGAGATACATCGAAAACTGGTCTAAAGCTGTCGGCGGGCAAAGCCGTTGGCACCTGTGTCAGGAGCGGGCCTGGTGAGAAGACAGAGACGAACTGCATTCTGTGTGGCTGGGTCGCGCGCGGACCACGCCGCTCCCCGGTTCCGGCCTACAACTCCCAGAGTGCTCTGCGCTCGCCCAGATCAGCGTGCCCGGCATGCACTGCGGCGATTTGACACACAGCTGGGCGCCACGGCCGGCCCCCTTATCTTTCTTTATTTAGATTTGTTTCTGTTGTGTAAACTCAGCATACAAATCCCAGTACACCCCCAAAGCCTGAGAATTGGTCCCGCGAATAGAAGGCAGTTGGCTAACTCCAACCCCGTAGAGTCAGAGCCAACCAATAAAGTGAGCGGACTGAGGCCACGTGACAGTAGCGGGGCGGTGCTCTGACACCGGCCTGATCTCTGTGGTCTTCACGGCTCGCTAGAGGGCGTGTGGAACACTGAAGGACTCCCTACATCCTTCATTACCTCACTGCCTCCGGTGCCTGCTGGGATCGCGGAGGACTCGGGTCGCGGCTCGACTTAGTCCTCCAGCCGCTCGGGGAATACCTCTAGCAGTTCTGCCCCTGCCGCTGCCCCGCCGTCACCGCTTCCTTCGTTGCGCGCCTGGCCTTTCTCGCCTCGCCCCGTCCTCCTCGCGCATCCGGCCCACCTACGGGCCCGCTTCTCTTGGGAGCACCCACCCAGGCACATGGCTCCATGAAGCAGGACGAGGAGGCCGAGCGCGAGAGGTCCCGTCCGCCCCGGCTGCGACTGGGCCAGAAGAAAAGGTAGGAAAGTCAGGCTATGCCGCGCCTTCCTCCCTCCTGTCCGAGGCCGGGGCGAGCCGAGGGGCTGGAAAAGAGGTCCTGGAAGTGGTTCTCGGAGGCCGAAGTCGGTTGTCCCGGGAAGTGGGTGCGCATGGTCACGGGCGAGGGTCCCGGGGCAGAGTGGGGGAGGGGCTCTTGGGCGTCGACGGAAGACACCGAGGCCTGCGGCCCGCGAGGCCTCGTGGGAGGCATGGAAGCCAATCGTGAGGGCTCGCCGGGAGGGGGCCGGCTGGCGGATGCCTGTCCCCGAGCCGCGAAGCTGAGCTCCGGCTGCTTTTCTAGACTCTCCTGGAAACAGTCTCCGGTCTGTAAAGTTTGTGATCTCCGGCGCCGCCTGGTGGCCCCCATCCAGTCATCCCGCCGCCCCCTCCCCTCTCCTCCCCTCGTCCGGATTCCACCCCCGCGGCTCGGCCCTCGATTCTCTCTACCCGTCACTGTCTTCTCTTCCACTTCCCCCAGGCCCCGGGCTCTCTTCCGCTTCTCTTCTCTTTGGCCTCCTTTCTGAGCCCTGGCTTGGCCTTTCTTAACGCTGTACTCACACACGACACACATGCCTGCCGTCCTGTCCAACCCCACCCTCAGTTTCTCCTTTCTTTTCCATCCCTAGCCCCCATTTTCATCATCTCCCCCACGCATTGGGTTTTTTACTTCTCAGACCGAATTTTACCCTCCATTCTGTGTCCTCATCTGAACTCCTTTCTTTGCCACCCTCCCTCACCCTTATCCCTCTGGGCCTATCTTCTTTCACTGTCTTCACAGGATGGAATGGGTGGAGCCTGGAATCTCCTGTTTATTTCTTTGGGAATACCTAGCTCAATTCTATTAATACTGGGGGTGGGAGTGGGGGTAGACTGGAAAAGCTGAAGGGATTGTGAAGAGAGAGATCCAAGACTGAATAAGGATGAATGCTTTTTTTACCATTTTACCAACATTTATTTCTACTTGGGGGGTACCAAAGTGTCCTATCCACAGGGCTCTGGCCCTGGAATATTGTTCAGTAATTCTGCAGCAGCACCTTTGCAGAAGACTTGGGACTGTGTTTGCACTCTGAAACAGATGCATAGTTGGTTGAAATGGTATATGTTGGACTGAGAACAGGTTTATTGTTGCTTGCTTGTTTGTTTTCCCAGAGAACAGGTTTTATCCCAATTTGGGGGTGGTCCAGGTGATGCATGCTTCTTGTTCAGTAAAACCTTTGATTCTCCATGTCCTTTGCTATTATTGATGACACTAGACAGAGATGATTCGATTGGTGGGACTGCCATTTCTACCTTATATTTAGATTTTCAGTGACAGAGCTTGTGCTTTGTTTGCCCGAGAAATTGCTCTACTGGCTGTTTTGTTTAATTGTCTTACCTCTGCACTTTTTAAAATTTGGTCGTTCACTGCACTTGCATTTCTGTCTTAGGTACAGGAAGAAGGAATGGAATCGACTGGAAGAGAATTCATTCCAGAGACAAAATAGCTCCTCTTCTCTGTTATAGCTATTCCCCTGGCAATACAAACTTTGTGTTTTCAGTGAGTAGTATTACCTTGGACTTAATGTAGAATAGAAATTTGTTGCTATTTTTAATTTTAGGCCTGTGCTGGGACTTTGAAATATATGTCAACTCTTTTCCACTTGTATTTTTCTACTTCCATGAGGGGTCCTAATGTTTATGAATTTTCTTCCACTTTTTAAAAATGATTTTTAAGTATGCAAACTACTAGAAGGATTTTCTCTCAGCCCTCAGTGTGGCTTCACGTTTTCTTTGTGTTCTACATAAAGTCTGACCCCCAACCTTTCCCAAATTACTACTGCTCTTTTTAAGAAGACATGCAGTGATCGTAACTTGAAAGTAAATGCAGACCCTCCCTGATTAAGGTCAATTATTGGTTCTCTTTCATAAGGTTATACTCAGATTTCTAGAACATTTGCTCTAACTCTGTATCCTATCACAGCTTTGAAATAATTAAAATTCTACATGTATATTTTGTGAGGAAGGCCCCCCACTCCCCCTGCTCAGCCAGGTCGTCCTTGCCTCCTTGTCTTAATGTTTTTAAAAATAGCATTAGCAATTTATGAAAAATGGTTTCTACTAATCCCTGAAGTCATACATACTACAGTAAGTGCCTTTTAAACTACTTTTTATTTAACGTGGGGGCGGGGGCAGTCTTCTCAAGTATTGCTTATATTACATAGCCTGTTAAAGGATAGCTGAGAGCAACTTAAAGTTCCATAAAGCAAAAATTGTTCTTTAGTTACAGCACCCAAGGCCAGTCAAGGACTGACCAGTTTTTGGTGACTTAGTAAAAAAGAACTACCAACACAAAGCAGGCCAAGAAGTAAATATAGGTGGTATTTTATTGACCTAATTTTTTGAATGACTTATATACATTAGCTATGCATTTTGTTAGGGATAATTATAAAGTATACTTTGGTCTGTTGATAAGGGGAAAAAAACATAACTAGTTGGTTTCAATCATAGCGAGCCTATAGGACAGGATTGAACTGTTCCTGTGGGTTTCCAAAAGCGCAGAAGAGTGTCTCTTATTTTTCCCAGGGAGTGGCTGGTATTTTGAACTGCTGACCTTAATGAGTAGCAGCTCAACGTGCAACCACCATCGGACATGGTAGAACTGCCTCTGTGAGTTTCTAAAACTAACTCTACAGGAGCCACTGGTGGTTTCAAACTGCTGACCTTGCTGTTAGCAGACAACACATAGATACTTAGAATTCAGTCTCTGTAGAGATACTCTGCAGTTGGCACTTTACGTAGAATCAGAGTGGACCTGTCAACTCGGGTTCTTGCTACCAGAGGCTTGTTTGTGAACATTTAGTGAGTACAACATAGAAGTACTTGACATAGTTCTTTATTATATTCATGTGCTCTGTGCTGTAAATATTGTTTTTTTTCAAAGACAGACTTAAAAATACTAGATGTATAGGTTGAGTGCTTAGTAGAGACTATTTTACTCAATAAGCAGGGGCAGGGGCAGTATGTGCATACTATATGCAGGGCATGGTCATAGATTTGAGAGGTAGGCAAATGCCACCTAGTTGCTCAGAGTAATGGCATTGATGGTTGGTATTTCTGGTTGTATAAACCACAGAGCTCAGAATAGCAAAGCGCTGCTCAGTTTCTCCACAGAGAGCAATGAAGTTCATGCCCCCTCAATCCTGTTACGTCAGCGAGGAGAGAGCTTATTCTACAAAAGTCTGAGATGAGGATTCCTCAACTGAAAAGTATGTTGTGACCTTTTTTTAAAAAAAATCATTTTATTAGGGGCTCATACAACTCTTAACACAATCCATACATACAGCAATTGTGTAAAGCACTTTTGTACATTCATTGCCCTCATCATTCTCAAAACATTTGCTCACAGCTTAAGCCCCTGGCATCAGCTCCTCATTTTTTCCCCTCCCTCATGAACCCTTGATAATTTTATAAATTATTATTTTGTCATATCTTCTCCCTTCACCCACTTTTCTGTTGTCCCTCCCTCAGGGAGGAGGTCACATGTAGATCCTTGTAATCGGTCACCCCTTTCCAACCCACCCTCCCTCCACTGTTGTGACCTTTTTATCACTGAGTGGACCTAGTTTTGTTTTACACTACTAGGTAAGGCAGCTAATTAGTCTTCAGCAAAAGGAATCACAATGATTCCTATTCTTACAGCTTTTTGTTGAAATATGGATATTGCCTCCACCTGGTGGAAATCAGTTTTAACTAGTTCATTCTCACTGATTGACCTGAAGTAGGAGCATAAGATCACTATCGCCCTGCCCCAAAGTAGTCTGTAAGTCCAGTTCAGAGTGTGGGAAGGGCTCAATGGCATAAATGCTGCACCTGCTAGAAAGCAAGGGTTTCTATACCTGCTTCCAGTTATTTCAAATGGATTATTGACTTACAAGGAACTGTTCAGTTACTTGTATTGTGATCAAATGATTATAGATTATTGCTGTTTTTTAAACTTTGGGGAAGGATGAGAACAAATTCATACGAAGGTGATTGTATATCATTGGATAGGATGTTTTTAACTAGTCAGGTAATATGTTGTATTAGTTAAGCTAACCTTTAAAACTAGTAATGCTACACTAGTTAAGCTAGCCTGTTGTTTGCTATCACTCAAAGGTATTTTGTGCTTTCATCTCAAATACTGAGGTCTCTGGCAAGAATATCTCCTTAATCATTTTAGGATAGTCTTAGGAACTGAGTCAGGGGCTATTTACTTGAGGTGAGAAGCCTGCTTTGTTATATAGAGCTAGGAAAATCATAGATCTGGAGAAGAAGGTTTTGAAACTGGTACTAGTGGTTGAAGCTTTATTCACTGCTAGCATCCTGCTTTACGTCTTTGCCTATAGTTCGATGCCATTGAGTTGGTTCTGGAGCCTCTCTATGTACAACTGAATGAAACACTTTGTCTTGCTTGACTCTATTGTTGCAGCCGTTTTTTTACGTGTACTTCACTTAATAGCTGCTTTGTGCTGTTACTCACCCCCGCCCATCTCCACCCCCCAAAAAAGAGAAAAAGGCCCAGCCTGCTGCCATTGCGTTGAGATTGACCATATAGGACAAAGTAGAACTGCCAATAGGGTTGCTAATGTCTTTTTTTTTTTTAAGCAAACCTTTATCCAGAGGGAGCCCATTAGCATGAGATAATGGTTCTCAAGGGCTTGCTTATATACAGAAAATTAAAGAAGATATAGGAGGTCAGGGATAGCTGTCACAAATGTGTGGTTGGCATCACATCAATACATCATAGTTACAGGTGGGATTACTTACCTGAGCTGGAATAGAGCACTGATTAGAATACATACGTTGTGATAGACAGAGGAGCTTACAAGATTGGTCATAGGGCCTCCCCAGGGCAAGGCATGACTCATGACTATGTGACTTCCACATGATCTCCATCAAGGACACACCCAGGCAAACTCTCAAGGGAGACTGTCCCTCCCTAGACCTGTCAGGTACTCTGTCTGAGGGCAAGACTATTCACAACTCTGGTCAGTGGTCTGAGGGAATTCATTGGAGGTGTAATCCATATGGGGATTCTGCAAATGGATTTGGGGCTTTCAGTGTCCTCCATAGCTTTCTGAAAAGTGTTGATTTAAGCTCTAATATAATTCCTTAATCTCTAATGTCACTCCTTCCTCCGATCATGGATTTTATTATTTATAATCCGTGAACCATACAGACTGGTATGCTCCTTCCATGCAGACTTAGGTTACACCTCACTTAACATGACTGCTTGTTTTAATACAAGCCTTTAAGACCCCAGATGGTATTCTTTTTGATAGTTGGGTGCCATCTGATTTTCTCACTGCACTTTGCTGTAGCACCCATATCTTCAGTGATCACTTAATGAGAGCAAATATCAAACAGGGCCACATCATAAGAACTAATTGTTCTTTTTTTTTAATTAAATACCTTTATTGGGGGATCTTACATCTCATCACAATCCATACAATCATCCATTGTGTTAAGCACATTTGCACGTATGTTGCCATCTTTTTCAAAGCCATTTCTTTCTACTTGAACCCTTTATATCAGCTCCTCATTTTTCCCACTCCCTCCCCAGCCCGCCCTCCTTCATGAACCCTTGATGAGTTATAGATTATTATTTTCATTTCTTACATCATCTTCTGTCACCCTTCACCCACTTTTCTGTGGTTCCTCCCTCTGGGAGGGGATTGTGATCCATTCTCCCTTTCTACCTCCATCTTCCCCTTATCCTCCTGATATCTCTATTCTCATTGCTGACCCTGAGGGGTTTATCTCTCCTGGATTCTCTGTGTTGCAGGTTCGAACTAATTGTTCTTAAATTAGGACTTACTACTTATTAAATATGAGCTCAAAATTCATAAATCTAAGGTTATATAAATTCCTGTAATTGCCACTTTCATGACAGTATTATCAGCTTCTTGAGAGTGTAAGTAACCTTCATGGGACCTTTGGTAATTCTAATAATAGTATTAATAATCTAGCCAATGGTATAGATTATAAAATACTATTGAGATAAAATACATACGAAAGCTTTTTTTTTA